TCTGTTTGTGTAATCAGTCTGTTTTTGATGATGCTACCACCATTCTCCCGTGTCGAGCTTGTTTATCTTTTTCATGTGTGCAAAACTGAAATAAAATGTTATTTTTATCACCAAACACAGAAACACACACTCCAGGGCCCGCTCTCTTCCCTGCTGAATGGGGAAATGGAATTTCCTTTCCATCCCGAGCCAGGAGACATTATTTTGGAAGCCCAGCCATGCGTTCGTTCGCTGCCTTTCCCCTACTTGGAGGGCCGCCAGGACCCCTGCGGCTCTTCCCTTTGGCTGGCCCTCCCCTTTCCGGAGGGGAAGGGACCCCCCCTTGCACGAGTCACCTCTCGCACACTTGGCCCAGGGCCAGGATGATGGTGCTATCCACGTGCACCAAGGGCTCTGGGTGGAAGAGGCGGGCAGGCCAACCCCAAGATACAGATTTTTCCCCATCACCCCGGTCAAAATGATCCCGGCCGGTCCCATTCCTTCGGTGGAGTCTACTACTTATTCTCCATTCCCAGTCACCACCAATGATTCACAGCCCACCCAAGATCCTAGTCATCAATGAGGTCCAGTCAGATAAAGCAGCCTGCTCCAAATGGTGCCCCTTATTGCAGAAGTGCTATCTTACCCTCCAATATTTCACATATAAAAACTGGGAGCTGCGCAGTTCACAGTCAAGAGTTTTTAAGGTTTTTAAAACTTAAAAGCTTTTAAGAAGGAAGGACAGAGAAGTGAGGTAAGGCTGCAGCAGTTTGCTTTTGCCTGAGCCAACTGAGAAGGGCAAGATTCATCTCCTTCCTCTTCTCTCCCGCATCCAAATTAACAGAGTGTAAGCCTCATGCAACTGAAGCAAACTGAGGACAAAGGGACAAAACACGTTGCAGAAACAATCCAGGTTGACACCGGCTCAGTGCTAGGGAATCCTGTAGTTTATTGTGGCACTAGAACTCTCTGACAGAGAAGGCTCAGTGTCTCACAAATGTCTGCAGTTCCCAGGATTCCCTAGCATTGAGCCAGGGCAGTTAAAGTGATTTCAAACTAGATTATTTCTGCAGTTTGCTTTGGCCCTAAGAGGGAAAGTGGGAAGAGGAGAGAGAGAAACCGGAACATTTTAACAGCAGCTGGAAAAGTGGGAAGGCAGAGGATTAACCAGGATTAAGTCAGCTTCCCAAAACAACTTACCAGATGCTTCCAAGTCTTCAGCCATGGCGCCTTGGCTACGGTTTGCGGGGCGATCGGGGCTGCCCTGGAGGCTGCCTTTCCACTTGGAGGCCTCCATGTCGCTGCCTTTGATGTGCAACGGGAGCAGCATGTTGACCTGGAAGGAAGGAAGGAAGGAAGGAAGGAAGGAAGGAAGGAAGGAAGGAAGGAAGCAGACGTGGAAAACATTAAGGGACCTTGCAAAGTGGAAGCACAGCACCTGGGAAGAGACAACCTGTTCCTCTGAATTATTGCAAATGTAGTCGGGAGAACAATACCCCAAATCTTCAAGACAGGCCCTTCTTCTCCTTCCCTCAGTCCCTCGATCTGAAGCATCAAGAGGTCCAGAGACGTTTGGTGATGGCTGTCCTGGTTCAGGACAGCCTAAGGCATTTCCATCACTCTCTTTAATAGTAAGGCAAAAAGTCAGGGGCCGAAGAAAGGAACCAGCCACCCCTTTGGATGTTCTTAGGCAGCAGGTCCCAGCATTCTTCCCCTGGCTAGTGGGACTGATGGGAAGTGTATTCCCACAACATCTGGGGAGCTGTGTGATTCCCACCCACGGCCTAAATCCCATTGCTAAACGCAACCAGGATCAATGAGAATTTGCTAAATCAACACTTACGTAATAATTAAGTAACACAACAACTTTATTAACGGAGATAAACAACATAAGCTATGGTTTTAACTTGTATTGTAAGTCACCTTAGTTCCTATATTGTGGAGGGGGGGTATTGTTGTTGTTTTTGTGTGCCTCCGAGTCATTTTTTTACTTATGGCAACTGTAAAGTGAACCTATCACAGGGCTTTCTTGGCACGTTTCTTTAAAAGGGTTTTCTATTGCCACCCCCTGAGGCTGAGAGAGTGTGACTTGCCCAAGGTCACCCAGTGGGTTTACACGGCTGAGCTGGGATTCGAACCCTGATCTCCAGAGTCACAGTCCAATAAACCACTACACCATGCTATTAAATGAAGACATATAGTTTGCATTCAAATAACCCAAGCCAAGCAGTAGAGGAAGGGGCCCTTCCCAGTCGGCGCAGGCAAAAACAAACTGCTGCAGCCTCTCCAAGCTTGTCTGTCTGTTTTCCTCATTAATTAATAACGTTTGCCCTCTTGACCGCACTCTGACGTTGCCTCGTTTTTGTCTGAGAAATATTGGCAGGCATGCCATTAAAACAAATCAATAACCTGCCCTTCCCTTCCCTAGTTGACAAAGGACTTTGCTGCAGATTCTGCGAAACTGGACTTCCCCAATTTTAGCCTAGGAAAAAAAAGACCAAGTTCACCCAGGACGCTTATGCAAGACAGCTGTTATTTTCAACCATGGCAGGACAAAAATCTTACCACTCCGGCTTTCATACCTTGTATTGAAGCCAAGTTGGTGAAGGATTCGCACTCCTTCCACCTCCAGCAAACACAATCCTGGCCAAGGAGACGGCAGGAGAAAGAGCTTTCTCTTTGGTGTCCCTGTTTGCGGCTAGCGATCCTTTTGAAATGGTCACTACTGTCATTCGTTGCTTGCTTTTTCATCATTGCTATTTATTTGGCTTTGTGGGACTTAGCCACGAAGCGATGCAAACTGCTTTGGGGATTTTGTTAAAAAGGATTTATTTATTTTTCGGGTGGAACAAAAAGCAACACCAAAAATGAATTTATAAGTACTGGGTCAAGTCCAGGATTTCCATATGATCTACTCTAGGAACGCTATGTTTGATCATCAAAAAAGGTATCAACACTCAACAGGTGATGAGTGGGAATCTCTGGCCCTACAGATGTTGTTGGACTCCGATTCCCATCATTTCTCTCCACGCCGGCCAAGGCCAATTGGAGAAAGAGTCCAGCAACATCCCAAGGGGCTGGAGTTCCTTCCCATGGCTCATTTCTGGTTGCCTCCAATGTCATTAACTAAGCAGACAAGAGTGCTTCTGAGCATGCACAAGGTGCTTTCCAAGTTAAGAGAGCCAGCCCTCCAGGGTTACCTTGCTTTGTAGGCTTTTGATCTGCAGGTTCTGCTTATCCATCCGGTACTGCTGCTGTTTGATCTTCTGCAAAAGTTCCTCCATCTTCGAGTTCTGGCGACTCATCAGGGTCTGAAAGAGACCCACGGATTTAGATTTAGCCTTTGGAAAAGTCATTCAGAGAGACAAAAACCAAAAGGAAGGAAGACGTGAGCATTCCTCCTCCTCCTCCTCCCCTGACAGCCAGCTGGGATCTCAGGAAAAGCCCTGCTTTGCACCCAAAAGGTGCTGGGTTCGGTTCCTGACATCTCCAGTTAAGACTGCAAGAGAGAAAGACGAGAGAGGACTAGTCCATGAGGACTACAATCTCAATTTGTCCCAAAGGCCCACAGCTCTTTCCTCAAACCCCTGGAATTGGAGTACCTAAAACAAGTGCATCTCCAGTTCTGGCCCTCCAGATGTTTTGGATTTCAATTCGCAGAGGTCACAGACAAAATGTGGCCACAGCCGAGTTCTAGTAGCCGAAATCCCCAACTTCTGAAGAGA